GTTGTAGTCTTCAGGATTCGGGAGCAGCACTCTGGAGGGAGCGCTGCGTTAGAGTAGTAGTAGCGTTATCTTGTAGTCTTCAGCGCTGGGCGCAGTAGGTAGCTGTAGTCTCCAGCGCTGGGCGCCATAGCTAGGATAGTGGTAGAGAGAGAGAGAGAGAGCTTGGGCGGAGGCCAGGAGTACCTACCTGCAGCGCCGTTGCTCCAGCTTCGTCTTCGAGGTACCTGCAGCACAGCGCCACATCACAGGTTAGTACCTGGTTCGTAACAGTGAGAGAGAGAGGGTTCGTCTTCCTCTTCTTCTCAGTCCACCATCTCCTCCTCTCCCTCTCAACCCCTGACTTCACTGCATTTGCAGACTGCGAGAGAAGAGATACCGGGGTTGGTGATATCGGATCCAGACTCGACTTTTGGGGACTTCAGACATGGCAACGAGGGGTTATTTGGGATTGGTGACCAAGACTTGGTGTTAACGACACTCCCATCTCTCCCCCCTCCTTTCGTCTGGTCCTTACCTCTTCGTCTGTGTATGTCTGGACCTGGCGCTTTCTCCCTGTGTGCAGCGCCAGGCTCCTTCACACCTGGTGAGGGATACGATGCATGTTTAGTCTGAGTTCAAACATTGATTGGGCTCGTGATTGGTATTCTAGCATTCTGCTTCGCTACTTGTACTCCGTGTGTGAGGTCAGTCCTTGTCAGGTCAGTCTTTGTATCTAAGTCTTCCCTGCGCTATTCAGCACTTTTGTATGTATGAGAATGCACATTGTCTGTCGAGATTCAACTCTCACCGCATTGTCCATTTCAGTCCTTTTTATCACACTGCAGTTCCTCGGTTATTACGAACATCAAATATCTGTGCATGTAACAGACAGCCTTGAGATATCATCATTGAGCTGACCGGCCCAGGAAATTCATAAATATTTGGTTTTACTCATCAAGTTCCATCATCTGGACTCCAACTCGGGTCTGTATTTCAACAGTTCATGGGTGTACCCACTGACCTAGGCTCTTGGGTACGGGTGTACCTTTCTTTCAAACTTGAAAAACAAAATTCACAACAACAGGCATACTGCAACGAGGGATGCCACAACATGCAGAATATTCAGAACAAAGTTTGACAAACCCAGTAATTGCAGCCAAAGCACACACACAGAGTAAAACCCCAGACACATGCAGAACAAAATCCACAACGAGGGGCATCTTTTTGCAATGTGACAGAAAGTGAAGACAGAATGGGAAATCAATCCCCGGACTTTGTTCTCAACACCGACACTCACAAGAGATTGGGGCTCATCTTGAAAAAAGTGCACCACTGAACGTAGTTCTCTACCGTCTTGTTCACCAATGCCTTCACTGCTCTAGCTTCCACTTCTGGTCCTATATTCCCAGGAGCCTGCAGCACAAACCACGACAAAGGATACATAAATGAAAATGGGTAAAGCGGGTGTCTGGCTGGGCAGCGGAGACGATTTCCGGGATAAAAAAAGGAGACCGTTCCAATCACCCTCAGCAATTGAGCGCCTTCCAGGTTTATGTCCAGCTCCTAACTGGTTGGTGGCTGTACGGGAGAACAACTGACAATATCCAAGCTGCGGGTACAGCAATTTTAGGGCCGCAGCTCTTTAGGGCTTACCCAGTAGCAACAATTTTAGGGCCTAACCTCTTTCCGCAAAACAAACCAAACCAACCCAACCCAACAAAACAAAACAAGAAAGTCAAGCAAGGAATTGGCAACTTGACAAATGATTGCAGAATCAGTACGCTTTCCGGAACTTACCGCCGAGACCTCAGCAGCAACCCTTGAAGTCATGCTGGCCAACAACATTACCACGTGCTCTCGCTGATTCCTCACGTTATCTTTCTGTTGCCACCAACACGTTCCAACACACAACCGCTCCGACATGTCAGCACTGGTTTCATGTGCTCAAGCATGATACACAAGGACAGCATCCTCTGTGGGAGTACATTTGGCCAGTAGACAACACATTCAACGAGCCTGCTAAACTGATGGTCTGCGAGCCTTAGGATCCATAGTCATTGATTCAAGAGTCGAGACATTTATTGAACCACAGGATCCACAGGAAGGTGACAAGAACCTTCGGGTTGGGAGATGAAAGGACAGGGGGGGTGAACGGGATAAATGGGCAAATGGGAAGAGTTGAGACAAAAAGAAACATTGTGTAGGAAAAAGGACCAAAAAAAAGTGTCCCGACTGGAAACCCAGGCTGATACATAACAGGTCACCACTGAAATTAGCATCCATTCTGGAAATCAACGGAAAAACACACTGCATCCATCAGGATTCGAACTTGAGTCTGTATTTCAACAGTTCCTTGGTGTACCAACTGAGGCAACTCGATGATGATATCACCAGGTCATCACTCTTTTAAAAGGAAACAGAAGCACATTGCACAACCGGAAGAAGGCTGCGCTTTCAGCACAAGGCACCAGTTCTCTCACCTGAAATCCGAACATGAAGCCCAGCCAATCCATAATGTCCCAGTTCGGTCTAGGTTGACATTCAATCGCCGCCTCACGGGGATATGGGAGGTTGGTTGTGTTTCGTATTTGCCCGACAGCTGACCGCACCTGTGTATTTCATAAAAGAGCAAAGACAGAGTCAAACTAGATCATACAATAGTGGTAGACAAACCAGCAAGGGATGCATTTCCTCTCCAAAGTAAATATGGGAGATTCAAAGTTGATATGCCCAAAACTACAACAGAAAGACAGTGTGAGACTTTGTTGCCCCTGGTAGACATTCTTCATGGTCCATACCGGAGTATGGGCTCTTCACATGCTCAAGTCGCTCTCATCCCTACTGCTCTTTTTCACCATCTTCATTCATTTTTTCACTCTCCAATGTATTACCTTGTCCCAATGATAAATATTTGAGGGCCAATCATTTTCCCCCAGCTAACAGCGAAAGGTCTCGCCTTCTGCTTCATCACTCAAGCAACACAGAGCCCATATCTTCAGTGTTCCCCAATCTCATTAAAAAATTAGTTTGCAAACATCCAAAATTTACCAACCGCATTTTTGGGAGCCCCCTTCATGTCACCCCACATGCAAGTCCATATTCCACGTGCTCAATCTAAAATCTGCACAGCATTAAATTGGCGAAGAAGGTCGCTGCATCTGCAGGTGTGAACCATCGCTGGCCCTGGACCATCTCAAACTGTAAATTGTCCACGATGTGAAAGGAAAGAGTATGTTTCACATTTATTTCTTCGTCAGCTATTACGCGGATATGCATCACAACCTGACAGATGCTGATATATCCCCATAGCACCTTCAGTGTGAGTTGTAGTCTCTCCGTGCAATCTCTCGATTGCCTTCCAGGGGAGGTCATTCTGGGACCAGATGTTATCGACATGCTCCTTACTACCTCCCTGTTGACCATGAGGGTAACCTGCTCTTATTTCTCCAAACTCGTCAATACATGCTGCAGCCCTCACCTTCCTTTCGACAGCAAAATGCAAGTACAACACTTTGTCTACTCTATTGGCAATGGGACAGCACAGGAAAGAACGTTGTGTTTGCTGCTGCCCTCTTCTTCGTCCCCACAACTCTCATTGTCATCCTCCTCCCCTTAGGCACTTGCAATCTTAGCAAATTGAGGTCGAGGAACACATGGAGCCTTGTTGCTTGCAGTGCTACTTTCCCAAACCTGTGTAGAGTGACTGCACCACCTACTAGCCATTTGGCAGCAGTTTCTGCTTGGGCACCTCCTCCACGAGTACCCCTTGCAACGGCAAAATCATACCAAAAACTCCTCAACCCTGTCCATAACAGCTTCTTTTGTTATGGGTCATACAGAAACCTCTCTCCACCTTGTCCATGACAGTTTTCCCTTGTGATTCCACTCCTCTCCCATGCCGGTGTACACTCTCCTTTCTGAGGAGACAAGATTGTTTTTGCACCTGCTGTGCTGCTGCTTCGGTTTCATCTTTTGCTTCTGTTACTGCTTCCCTTTTTAATAATTTGTATCCATTCTGAATCAACTGCTGCATCACTCCATCCTCTCCTGAGGGGCCCTAGCCCTTTTTAACGAGTTTTTATCCATTCCGAATCAGCTGCTGCATCACATCATCCTCTCCTGAGGGGCCGTAGCCCTTTTTTCCATCACTGCAGTCAATCTAACAAACTGTCTAATGGGCCCACTACCGCAGCGCACCTTTCTCCTCTAATTTGTCAAGACCCCATGATGCACCTTTCCGCCTCTGGGTTACCGACGTCTGAGTCGTCTTCAGCATTTGCTCCTAGCATAAAACCCCATCTGCCATGGCCCTGAAGGTCTACAACTCATTTGGGGACCGGCTTCATAAAGTGAAGCATAATGTGGTTTTGCACCAGCTCTAAATCTAGGGTCTGCGGTGGGCGATAAAATTCCTGCTCGCGGATCCCATACACATTTGTCTTCCAACTCGCCAACTAATAAGTTTTCCGAGTCGGCCAGAGCTTTCGTCGAGTCCTCAACGTTGCTGATGTCAAACTGGAGCCTTGGTGATGTTCTACATAAGGCCACAATAAGAAATCCTGCAGCCACACTTCAATGTCATCCTCCAGCAGTCCCCTGAAAGCTTCCGGGGAGCTTTTATACCTTTGTTGATGGGCCCGCCGATTCCCTCCATGCGAGGAGGCTGTCCCTACTGGAATCTACTGCAGCGGACAAGGAGCCTGCAGCAACTTCAGGGACTTTGCCAGAGCATCAATCTGTTGTATCAGCGGATGCGGAGCCTACAACCTCCATCCTGTGCATGTCCATAGGACGGAGGACTGTGACCGCAGATGGCATGTTCCGAACATTGTGCAAGAACTCAATAAGCTCTTCTTTGGCAGGTCTTCGGAATTCGAATTGAACAATCACACCAGAAGATGGAACCATGAAAAACTAGTATGGAACTGAGCGCCCTACTCGCTAAGCAAATGCGACCATCGGTTCAAGAAACCATCCGGTCATCCGCAAAATGCCACTGGCTATGGCTACGGAAGACTGCAGTTGCAAAGAGTTTCCATTTAATGTGTTTTCCCCATCTTTGTTTTTTCCCATGTCAGCATTGCGTAATTTACGCGCCTGCTGCCTTCCTTGGATATGGCAGCCATCTCAGATACTTCGTATTCTGTTTTTTTCAATGCCTACTCTTCATTTAATGTGTTTTCCCCATCTTTGTTTTTTTCCTACGTCAGGATTGAGTAATTCACACGCCTGCTGCCTTCCTTGGATGTGGCAGGCATCTCAGATACGTCATATTCTGTTTTTTTCGACGCCTATTTGTCGTTTCTTCTGTTTTCTTATTTGTATTAATGCTTAGTGCAGCCAGGCAGTTACTAAGGCTCATAACCTCAAACTCGTAGACTCAAATCCTATCTCACGCCATTGCCATAACTTGAATGATTTGGGCTTTGCTAATTCTTGGACAAGAAATATTCCTCCACAAAACAACAGTTCTTTGTCTTCTTTATTTAAAAGAAAGCCTACTTCTCTTGAGCCCAGACAATTCAATCACCTGTCGAATTTTGCAGGACTGTCAGGGAGGCCTTTCAGGCCTTTTTTTAATCATATCATTATTAGGCTTTTATAACATTCTTACTAGTAGTTGGAACAACGTAGCAGCCAGCCCGAGATCAAGCACCCAACAAGGGAACACGCCCGGGCTGCGCATTTCTTTAAATGACACTGTTCCAAGAGAAAACCAAATCTGGATATATGCGGAAAAATGTACTGAATGCATCGGCGAGGACAATCAGCAGGGAAGAAACCAACAGTGCTTTAGGACAAACATCTCTTAAGATAATCAACCGAGAGGAAGAGATGGCCCGCCTAATTGTTACTGGGATTTTTTGTGAGGCTTAGTGCCAAGCCTTTCGCACACCTATAGAAGGTTTATGATTGGACCAGTCTAGTCCTTTCGTTATTTTGAATTTACGTGAGTCATTATGATTGGTGCTATGCCATTTGCATACCTGTGGAAGCTGCATGATCGGCGCATTTGAGTCTTCTGGCGTTTCTAACGGAAGGATGTTGTACGGTACAATGAGTGCTGCCTTGGCTTCAACCTCCAAGTTACGCTCTGCATCCTGTCAACCAGATGGTAGAAAAACGGAGTGGGTCCAAAGCTCAGGAACAGAGAAAAACTCCCAGCCCAAGAAGTCATGGTGCAGTCAAGCAAATCCACTTATGCGTACAAGAAAGCGAAAAGGAGGCTTTGCTAACCAAGCAAATCCACAATAACAACACTGTGAACTTCACACATCACACTGCTATCCAGTGAGAGGAAATGCTCCCTCACCTTCTCTCTCTCTCTCTCTCTCTCTCTCTCTCTCTCTCTCTCTCTCTCTCTCTCTCTCTCTCTCTCTCTCGGATGTGTGTGTGTGTATGTGTGTTGTCATGTTCGCTATACATCACTCCACAAAAAGAGCATGACTGTGCCAGACTGTACTGTTGTACTTTTACTGAATTGTCAGTTTGTGTGTGTGTTCTTCAAAATGAAAGCGAGTAACAAAAACGTGACCAGAGAAATATGTCGTTCGGGTTGGCTGCTCACATATTGCTGACGCCACTCGTGTGCCCTTTTGCTGCATCCCGCCTGACTCGCTTGCATCTGTGTATGAAACACACTTACCTCCTTGTAGGCAGACATCATGCAGCATACCTGACTATGAAGTTCCCATCACAACTACATTCTTCTTCTTTTCTTTCGGGAAAACAAAAATTGGACCATTTCTCAATTCAAGTGTGTCACCCTTGTGCAGGGGCTATGCTAATCAATCCTCTCCGTATTGTTCCAATTTTAGCGGATGTTCCAAAGGACGGCTACATTCACATTTTGATCACATTACTGTATAAATGCACACCAATATACTTCGAAGTTTGAACTGAATACTGACAGCGTAATGCATATACGTGTGCCGCAAACCGAACTTACCTCCGTAGGAACTTCCATGTGGGCCTCTTTCTCCAAGTAATTCATCGTCTTGTACAGCACCGTGGCTAGATGATACACATGGGCCCTTTCCTGACTGCAGAATACAAAAGAAATTAAAGCATCCAAAACAAAGAAATAAGTTAACCATCTGACTAGGCTACCAGCTGGGCCGTCCAAAAGCTGTTTGAACGGGCGGTCCGTTCGTGCAAGGACCAAAGAAGGTCCCAGCAAAAGAATAAAAAGAAATCGAAAAATATATGGAAAAAAACAAGTATGGAGAATAATAAACTGAACAGCTTTTGCCTCGGGGTCACATCAAGATTCTTTACCTTAAAGTTTCTTCTTCCTTGAAAAAATAAATAAATAAATAAATAAATAATAGAAAATAATTAAATAAATTATTTTTATTTTATTTTATTTTGTTTTTTGGCCCGGCCGGGCAAATGGTCCCAGGCCACTCTTGTAGCCTAGCCATCTGATGAATTAAGAAATAATTCATATTAATAATGTAGTAAACGAATGGCACTCATCTTCAAGTATACCCAGGGATGTTGAGCAGGAAAAGCCATCATTTGGTATACCCAGGGATGTTGAGCAGGAAAAAGCCATCATTTAAAACCTGGGATGTTGAGCAAGGAAAAGCGATCATTGACCGCTCATCATCCCTGGGTTTAAATGATGGCTGCTGAGCGGGAAAAAGCCATCATTTATAATAAGAAAAAAACAAAAAAAGCCATGACTTAGAGCTTCAAGGAAGTCTAGACAGAGTACTCCGGGGCATCCCTTGAAATCGGAACAATACATAGAAGATAAACATGGCCCCTCCGCAGGATGACAGGCATACATCAAAATTGGTCACTTGAAAAAAAAAAAAAACGGAAGTGTAGACAGAAGAAGAGAGTACACGACATGATGGACAAGGCACTGGGGGAGGGGGGAGAGAGAGAGAGAGAGAGAGAGAGGAGGCACTGTTGACGTAAAAAAATATAGAATATGTGGACGTCACATTGTAAAGAAACAGTTTGCCAAAGATTTTCAACATGTTTGTCAAGAGGTTACCAGCATCCGTGCGGTGTGAAGGCCGGTGGGAAAAAAACAAGACAAAGGAAAAAATGTAGCAGCGATGTGTGAAGGCCAGTGGGAAAAAAACAAGACAAAGAAACAGTTTGGCATAGGACTTCTAGGCATTTCCCCTAAACCACCAGTAACGCCGCATCCCCACCCCCCACCCCCCCTCCCAGGGCAAAGAGGAATGAACCGGCACGTTTCCTTTTCGGCTGGAGCCACCAGCCTTTTTGCTGCAGTTGGTCGTGGCCCAAAAGCCACGGTGCGTGCATGGCCGCGTCGCAGAAAAATGGCTGGGAAAAGTACTGGTTTAAAGAGAAGTCTTCTTTTTCCTCATAACCAGGAGCCCCTGTCGTAGCCACGCCTGCCATTACAATAGCGTGGTGGTTTCATTGAAATCCACAATGACATCGCATGAACATCAACCCATCCTCTTGTTTTGCTTGAAAGGCACAAAGACAATCCATTGCCACGTACATTTCTCGACCGGATTAAAAAAAATCATGGACATTCCTCAAACCCGAGCCTTATTTGCTTTTTTCTTTTTTCCCTCAAGGGCTAGGAAAGAATTCACCAACCTGCCGCCCATCCTGACGTCCACCACTAGCCTGTAAAAGGCCCTATATTCCTCCTCCATGAAAACTGCGTTGTCCTCAAGGCTGTATCTTCCCAGTTCCTGTCATCAAAGCAGAGAAGGAAATTCCGAAACATTCCAGCACAAAATTGCAAGACAAAGAGAGAGACGTTGCAGTGCAAGTGGAATCTCAACAAGCAATGTGATAAAAAGGACTGAATGGACAATGCAGTGCGAGTGGAATCTCAACAAGCAATGTGCATTCCGATACATACAAAAGGTGCTTTATAGCGCAGTGGAAGACTTGGATACAAGTCCTGACCTGACCGGGACTGACCCCTCTTACGTAGTACGACATAGCGAAGCAGAATGCTAGAATACTAATGACTAGCCCAATCAATGTTTCAACGCAGACCAAACATACATCATGCTCATCACAAGGTGTGAAGGGGCCTGGCGCTATACACAGGAAAGGAGCGCCAGGTCCAGACATACACAGACGAAGAGGAGGGGATCAGACGAAGAAGAGGAAGGGGGAGATGGGAAAGTCGTCAACACCAAGTCTCGTTACAAGTCCCAAGTAATCCCTCTTCGAAATGTCTGAAGCCCGAAAGTCGAGTCTGGATCCAATGCCACCAAGCTCTCTCTCTCTTTCTCTCGTAGTCTGCTGATGCAGTGAAGTCAGATAGTGAGAGGGTGAGAGGACATGGTGGACTGAGAAGAGGAAGAAGAAGAACTCTCTCTCTCTCTCGTATGCCATGTACTAACCTGTGAAGGTGGCGCTGTGCTGCAGGTACCTCGGAGATGAAGCTGGAGCAACGGCGCAGCAGGTAAGTATCCCTGGCCTCCACCCAATCTCTCTCTCTCTAGTACTACTCTAGCTATGGCGCCCAGCGCTGAAGACTACAGCTAACGCTACTATCGCCCAGCGCTGAAGACTAATGCTAACGCTACTACTACTCCTGCAGCGCTCCTCCAGAGTGCTGCTGCCGAATCCTGAAGACTACTGACTGCCTCCTGCCTACCCGTGAAGTGCATGGGAAATCCCTATGAACTACCTCGGCCTGCCTCCTGACTGCCTCCGACTGCCCGCAGTTGCAGGGCGGGCAATCCAGGAGGCTGCTCTTGCCAATGCCAAGCTGAGCCAGGTGCTGGCGCTGCAGCTGTCGTGGGAACAGACTAAAAATAGCCTGTTCCTAAAACCCTGGCTCGGTGCCTGAGTTTCAGGGCAGGTTGGTCTGATGACAGACCGAAAATGGCCCTTCGTTTCAGGCTAAAAAGGCTACTGCCATGTTTAGTCTCAAACGACACAGGGTCTGTAGGCCCCTGGTTTTCAGGCTTTCGAGCTGAACAGACACGGGGCCTGTAGGCCCTGGTTTTCAGGCTTTCAGCCTGAGGTACGCAGGGCCTGGAAAATGGCCCTCGTGTGCGGGCGCAGCATGTAACACTCTCTCTCTCTCTCTCTCTCTCTCTCTCTCTCAAGGAAGACAAGGATAAACCATTAAAAGACTACATTTCACAGGCAAACTCGAAACACCAATTGGCCGCATTCTTCGGGTGAAGAGTGCTATCAGACCAAAATGGCTGACAGCGAAGCTTGGTGCGCAGTTCTTTTCCGCCTCGGCAAAGAGAGGCTCAGAAGTAGTCATGGTGGTTTAGAAGTCTGTGGACACTCCATGGCACCCCCATCACTGCACAGTTCACTGGACTCTACACCTGCTCACACAGACATGCATAGACCTTTCAAGGTGTGGCCCCATTACACAGGTAGAATGGCAGCCGAGGGGTCAGCAGGGTCCTTTTCTCCTAATAGCCACTAACCAGGGAATACAATAGAGTTAGTTACAAGCAACTGTCCTCCGCTGGAAGACCATTGCTCGAAAAAAAGGGACTGTACTTGCATTAGCTAGGAATTTATTGGATGTATCCGTCCGTATTGACGACCAAATTCAGTTGAAAAAGTCTTGATGAGCATATGCCCTTAGCCATGGCATGGCAACCTAATGCCCAGTCCAGAACCAAAACAACTGCACTGCAGAGCTTCAAACACTGCAGAGCTTCACGACGAAAAGCAGGCAGTCGCTGGGGCTGCTTTCCTTACCCACCGAGCTTGGGTAGGTTTGCTTGGTGTGTGGACGAACACTCTGATCTTTTTTTGTGAAACCAAAATCAACAAAAGACCGCACTTTTAAGTACTAGGTTTTCTGTTTGCCGGTGATGACCGACCAGACTGATGCCCTCCAGAGTAGAAGGGGCCCGTGTGTTTCCAAACAAAAAGAAAAAAAGAAGGAACGAAAGAAAGCTACGTTTCCCGAGATGGAGGCGGCTAAACAGTGGAGGTTGGTAAAGTGGAACGCAGGGTTTTGACGAGGAGGAGAGGATTGGTGGAATTCCCCCCCTAGGTCCTGGTCAACGAGAACTTGTTGTCGGAGATAGACAAACAGGTAAGACTGCTATAGCTATTACTGAATCAGAAGCAGATCAATGCAACCAGTTGGGGTGCCAACACCCGCCACCGTTTTGCAATCACTTTCGCAATCACATACTTGATGTACTATGTGCACTTTGCAACCGAAATCTTTTTGGTGTACCACTCACCCTGATTGTGCATGCATCCATCCATCTAAGTTGAAACCTCTCTCAACTCGGTCGTCAGTATCCAAAGCGGGTCTGGACTTTGTTCTTTTTCCCCCTCTTAATCAGTATGCACAGTGAGTCTGTGCTATTATGCTACGGACCGTCGGCAGAAAATTTCCAATCACAGGGGGTTGATCACAGCCCTCTGATATGCTGCTTTAGGCCCCGAAAACACCTCTTTGACTCCCCCCGAAACCAAAGAAACGTACACAAGAGAAGAAAACTCTGTTTTTCTCTTGGGGAGGTGAAGCAGAGGGGGAAGGGGGGCAGAAGGGCAGAAGGGCAGAAGGGCAGAAGGGAAGAGGAGAAATCTCAACCACGTTTAACTATCAGTCTGGTATCGACTTGCTCGGACAACACCACCCTCACGGTTTGAGCTCCAGTAGTGTTGTTCAAAAGTCAACCATAGCTGTTTAAACCACCAATACCTGGGCACCTGGGCCGCGGGTCTGACACCTCAAATACTGGAGGCGCGAAACGAAAACGCGGCCGTCAATCGAACTTATCAATGGCGGGCCCAGCGTTTGCCGTTTCAGCCTCGTGTTCTTGTGGCGACAAGTTTCGGACTGCAAGGCTGGGGCCGTGTGCTTGTGGTTTAAAACCACTGGTACCTCTGTCAAGCCAGTGAGGCTGATGGCGCAGAATCCATCAAGCGGCGAGGAGGAAATGCGGTCCCTGCTCTTCTTCAAGAAGAGGACATTCAGTGGTTACAGCAACAACAGATGGATGAGAATCCCGTCCCGGTTACTCTTCAAGAAGAGGATATTCAGTGGTTAAGGGCATATGCTCATCAAGACTTTTTCCATGCCCTGCCAAGGCTACCTAATGCCCTTGCACGNCTTAAACATAATCCCTGTTACTCTTCAAGAAGAGGATATTCAGTGGTTAAGGGCATATGCTCATCAAGACTTTTTCCATGCCCTGCCAAGGCTACGTAATGCCCTTGCACGAAACTCGATGCTGAGTTTAATTCCCTGTTACTCTAAGCACATGCCCTTAGACATTCAGAACGACTGGGCGTGGAAACTTAAACATGAATGCACGAAACTCGATGCTGAGTTTAAGTTTTCACGCCCAATCGTACTGTGCTTTTTTTTTAAGTTGTTGAGCCATTTCTCGCCAAGCAGGTTACACGTTGAAGCTGCTTCACAGGGAGGCTGACTGTGGCCAGAGGATGTCCGAGCGGAAAGATCAAGCACAGGAACTTTGTGTGTCTACGTTCAATGAACAGTATGGAAGTGAGGGATGACTTTCAACTTGCACCTTGCTCGATGATTTGAAAGAGTTTGCCACTAGTGCTCTTTGGACACACTTCTGGTTCGCCGGCTTGATGGTGCGCCGTTTCCTTCTTTTTTTCTATTTTGAGTGCGCTGTTTACATTTTTTTCGTCGTTTCCCCACATAGAGGAAAAGGGGAAGAGGGGGGGCAAGGGTGTGTGTCTGGGTGTGGAGTTTGGGGGGGGGAAGGGGAGGGGCAGAATTCTGCCTCTGTACGGTATGCCATTCCAAGAACTGTGACCGCACAAGTCTCAGGGGTTAACAGGGGTATCAGCGGAAAAAAAATTGTTTTCTTGGGTGTTTTTTTTTTTGGAAATTTGGTCACTTTATTACCAAAACAAAATGCTGCAAACAGTTTCTGGATTGTAGCTCAAATTAAGGGGGGGAACTTGGATTTTAAGTATATCTAACACATTTTGACAGGAAATCAATCTATGGTTAACATTCAGTATTAAGTATGAATGATTGATGGGACAACAAAATTCTATGTAAATTTCCTAATATTATAGTATTTATCTAGGCTACAAGCCGGGCTGGTCGGGTCACCCTATTTTCTTTCGGGATTTAGACTAGGAATTTAGGTACCTCGCAATCTGGCTGCACGGCGCATCTCGTTTGCGCGCACCGTGCCTCGGCAAGATCTGGGTTCTGATCCCGTGCGCCTTAATCTTGCGTGTAACTGTAATTTTTGGCGGGCACAATTGCAACTGTAATCTTCTTGTTCTTGATGTCCTTCGTGTTTCCTCTTTCCCGCCTCACCCTTACCCGTGTATGCACATCCCTTTTTCTGTTATAATTGTTCGCCACGATGCATGACTGGATCGATGCGTGGAGAGTGGTTTCCATCCCTCGCGCCGCGGCCTGGCCATGCAGACGTAGGCACCTCCTCCTCTCTTCTACTCTGGCATAATCCCGGGTTCCTCGTGCATGCTGTTCGCAGCCCGTCAGGGTTGCGTTTTACCCCCCAAACATTTCAACGTCAATCAAAATTTCAACGTCGGTGGTCGTCGRGAGGGTGGGCATTTTGAGGTTTTGGGGCCTTGCAAGGGCCAGGACCACGTAGGACCGGTAGCTGCGCATAGGAGGCCGAGGAGGCCGCCGTCCTCAAGCCTTTTTCGAAATTGAAACGGTGCGGGTGCACTTTTCTCGAATACCACAGTTTCCTCGAATAGAAAATGTACAGGTTGT